ACTATACTTGAGACCTTAGAACTTATATCTCAAGGTGGGTGGCCATTTACGTTGTAGATGTCTATGGAATCTAGTAACCACTTAACACCAGGTGGGCTGTGAGCTCGTCCACCCATCTAAGCAATAAAATAAATATATATATATATATATGACGGATCGCCAGCGATGGCTGAGCGGTAGTTTCCGTCATCACTCGTATTCGGTAGAACACAGTTTATTGCAATAATAGCCAATAAAACCTTTTGAATAATAATTATTGAAACTCTCAACACATAATTTTCACAATGACAGGGTAAACCGACAGTTTTGTTTCAACTGACCGACTGACAGACTGACTGACATACTAACAGACTGAGACGGACTGACTGTCTGACACGGAAGAACATACAAACAGGCTGACTGTCTGAGACGGAATGAGAAGACTTTTTTTTCCCTACCTATGCTGATAGCCTTGAGAGGCTATATGAGCTTACCCTAGCGTGTATAGGTGAGCTCACGGGGCTCAAACCGGAGAGTTGCTAACACTGCGGTAGGCAGCGGCTTGGCTCTGCCCCCGGCATTGCTGAAGTCCATGGGCGACGGTAACCACTCACCATCAGGTGGGCCGTATGCCCGTCTGCCTACAAAGGCAATAAAAAAATAAATAAAAAAAATGACCCTAGCAAGAGCAGTGCTTCGCAGAATCAGAGGAGGGCCGTTCGGATTGTGGATAATCCCATTCTCACGGATTGTTTGGAACCTCTGGGTCTGCGGAGGGACTTCGATTCCCTCTGTATTTTGTACCGTATGTTCCATGGGGAGTGCTCTGAGGAATTGTTCGAGATGATACCGGCATCTCGTTTATACCATCGCACCGCCCGCCACCGGAGTAGAGTTCATCCATACTACCTGGAGCCACTGCGGTCATCCACATGACATGTCCTTCTTCAAACGAGGCTTGTGGAGAGTATTAAGCGGTAGGCAGCGGCTTGGCTCTGCCCCTGGCATTGCTGAAGTCCATGGGCGACGGTAACTACTCACCATCAGGTGGGCCGTATGCTCGTCTACATACAAGGGCAAAAAAAAAAAACGCGACCCACTGAGAAGATCCGGCGAAAAACTCAGTGGGCTGTGTCTGTGGGTTAATTCGCTCGTCGAGCCCTTCCTCGCAAGCGACGGGTTCGAAGAGGACGGTGACCGGTGCTTGTAGTGCCTAAAAGCACCGTTAATGGATCAGGAGGATCCGTGATGACGTGCTTTGGGCGACGTCGAAGGTTTACCATTTGGTCTACAGGATCAGGTATATAGTTTCGGCGCGCACTGCGGTACCGTAGGTCTGGTGTAGCCGGTGTGGTGGAGCTCGAGGGGGTTTAGTCGGTAGTCGTTCTGCGGGGAAGTGCTTCGCGCGCCTTTTTCAAGGCGTAGTCTCTTGCGAGGAATTCCGGGAGGTGGAGGACCTTGGCCCTCCTCGTCCCCCTCTTCCTCTCAGGAGGCGCCGGAGTCCGACATAACCCGGTTCGTTACCCCCCCGGACCGGGTATCCGTAAATGGATTCCCCAGCTTAAAAAAAAAAAAAAAGTATATAGTTTCCAGCGGCCACGACAAGTGGGTTTTCATGTTATGCCGTCTTCTCGAAGTGGCGTAGCGATGCCGACTGTAGATACTTACTGACGGGGTCGAGCTCCAGGTCATCGTGGAGATCCACGTTCCTCAGGAACCATGGTGCTCCGACAGCTATCCTGCAGAATCGGGATTGAATAACCTGAAGGGGTCTTAAGATGGTGCGAGCCGCGTGAGAGAATACTACGCTTGCATACGTCATGACGGGGCGTATGCAAGTTTTTTAGAGAGTTACCTTATTACGGAGGGACAGTTTGCTTCGACTACAAAGCATTGGGTAGAGTCGTCCTAGTATAAACGCGGCACGGTCGCGTACCGTTTTAATGTGGGGACGGAATGTCATCCCTCTGTCGAGGGTGACGCCTAGGTATTTGACCTTCGAGGCCCNGAATACTACGCTTGCATACGTCATGACGGGGCGTATGCAAGTTTTTTAGAGAGTTACCTTATTACGGAGGGACAGTTTGCTTCGACTACAAAGCATTGGGTAGAGTCGTCCTAGTATAAACGCGGCACGGTCGCGTACCGTTTTAATGTGGGGACGGAATGTCATCCCTCTGTCGAGGGTGACGCCTAGGTATTTGACCTTCGAGGCCCACGGTATGGGCTGACCAAAGAGTGATGGGGCTAACGGCGGAGGTGTTTGCGCGCCTATTAAGGAGTGGGATGCTCGAAGTGGTATTCGGAGGGCGACTCCTTTTGAATAGCACCGCTGTGCTTTTCGTGGGGCTGATGTCGATTCGCCACTTCCGGAACCACTGTCCCATGGTGGTTGCTACGATCTGGAGTCGCCGATGGAGCAACGACATCTTCCTACATGAGTAGTAGATAGCCGTGTCATCGGCGAAGAGCGCTAGATGGGTCTCCGGAGATCGGGGTATATCATTGATATACAAACTAAATAATAACGGAGAGAGCACGGAGCCTTGCGAGACTCCTGAAGACTGCGCGGGACTGAGCGGTCAGGTCCTCCTTGACGTACTCGATGTCGAGTTCCTTCGGTACTCCGCGTATTACTACGCGGAGCTCGCGGTCCTCCTGAAGAGCATAGGTATGGAAACCTATGTTCTCCTTTCAGAGGTAAGCGGAGAGGGTCCTATGGTCGCCCGGCGTTGCGACCTTAATTTGAATCCCATGCGCGACGTTACGCGCATGGGTGTAATTTATTTTGTTGGCCTTAAGGGCCTCGGACACGCGGTTCCACGCTGACTTCTCCTGGAGTATCAGCGGGGGCGGAACGACGGTTTTTTGCGCGGGCGCGAGCTTGGGACGCGGCATTGGAATTACGCGGCGGCCGGAGTCCGACTCCGGTGTCACGACTACCTGCGGACGGGAGGCGGTCGCGGATTTGGTTTGCCTCGTCGTGGAGCTCCGGGACTCCACGACGCGAGTACGCTTTTTCCCGTTTGGAACCCATCCGAGGTTCCGGGCTGCGGGCTTGTTGCGGACTCGAAGTCCATCTCCGATCCGGAAGTTTAGGTACTTATCCGCAAGTGACCCAAAAAATCCTGCTAAATCTTCATCCATGTTGAGATTTTGCTCGGGGGGGGGCGTCCCCGGGACTTGAATGTTACTCGCCGAAAGGCGAGTTCCCTGAGTGAGAATTGACCCCCTGCGCTGTACTAGCCAGCAGTTAATTGCAGGGGGGATGCCTATGCCGTGAAAACGGCAATCAGCTGGGATTGGGGTGGGTTATGTATGGGAAGGACCCCACTAGGTTGTGAGAATGCCACAACAAGCGCTGAACGTAGTATATACAAGTACCGAAGAACAACATTCGGACCATTGGTCTACCGAGCAATTTGACCCGCTCGGTGGAAGATCTTCCCTCCGTCGTTAAGCATTTCTTTGTGTCAGTGCCTAGACAATCTAGTTAGTTGAAGCAGCTTAACTAATACTTCTCCTACAGTGTCATACCAGAAGCATAATAGCAAAGTGAAAGACATAATTAGAACAGAAATTACAAAAGCTAAAACTGTATCTATAACTCTATAACGACATTTGGAGCTGTATGTAACTTGCTGCTTTAAACTACACAACTCACCGGCTCACCAAGGATTTTGTTCTACAGCACAGAATGTTGCATATAAGAGATATTAAAGGAACCTACACGAGTAAAAATATTCGTTCTGTTTTGTCAGACATCTGCAAACTGAGATTCATACCTACCAATATTAATTTGGTTTTGAGAGACAGTGGGTCCAATGCTAGCTAAAGCTATAAAGCTATAAATGTGAGTCCGCATGTTGGCAAAGGAGGTTATTACGTTTAGCGGTAGGCAGCGGCTTGGCTCTGCCTCTGGCATTGCTGAAGTCCATCGGCGACGGTAACTACTCACTATCAGGTGGGCCGTATGCTCGTCTGCCTACAAGGGCAATAAAAATAAAAAGCTGTTAATGTTGCTCTGAAAGTGCAAAATTTGAATGACATTATTGCTATTACAAGAAAAATCATAGGTCACTTCAATTAGTCTGCAATCTACACAAGAGAAACTGATCACCATCCAAAAACAGCTCAATTTACCTGAGCACAAACTCTTCAACGCGATGGAATAGCACACACTATATGATTGACAGATTATTAAAGCAAAAGAGGGCCATTTCTCTCTACAAATCAAACAACCCGAGTACAGCCTTTTCTTTTTAACGCTGAAGAATCCATTTACGTAAGCCCGGTCGAGGGGGGTAACGGACCGGGTTATGTCGGACTCCGGCGCCTCCTGAGAGGAAGAAGGGGAGAAGAGAAAGACAGTATGGTACCGCAGTGCATGCCGAAAAACCCGAGTACAGCCTACCTTCAACAGTGGACAGAATGTTTGTGGAAGATCCTGAGTGAGTGATCCCTTTACATTAATAATTAAAATAACATTCTCGATAATTTCTGAAGTAATACCCCACACCAATGTTCTATTAAAATATTTATCATAATTTAAATCTAAATCATGAAATCTACCCAAATATACGAGGTATGCTACAAAAGCTTAAAAATGAGGTGCAGAACCACTTTCAGATATTAGAGGATGATAAGTATTACTGTTTGACAACCTTGCTAGACCCCAGATTCAGAATGAGTTTTCAAACCAAAGAAATTCGGACTCAACAGACTGCTATCGGACGGACTATCTTGAGTGGCAGTAGTGATAGAAAACGAATAATACAAAAAATTGTAACTGATTAAGACAGTCACAAGAACCCCGCACACCTTTTTGGAATTGTTTGGAAAAATTGGTATCTACCGATCAACCAGAGCGAGATAACTTTAACAGCTCCATGACTAATTTTCAATATCTATTCTATGATATTCAGAAGTATCTATTATATCAAAAATATATCATATTTTTGTAGAAAATACAGGTTTTTATGCAATAAAATGAAATTTAAATTTAAATTTTTTATTTCGCGCTAACATGCTGATCAGTGTCATGGCGTCGGTCATTACGTCACGGATTAGTAAACTTCAGTACGTCAATTGTAAACATTAGATGCTTGTTTAATAAATCAAGTTATTTTGCATAATAAATATGAATTCAAAAGTGTATAAGTGGTGTGTGGTCCCTTAGTGCACAAAACTCTGAGTTACATCTATAAAAACTCTGAGCAAGTTAATTTGTTTACGTCCCAAATAACAAAACAATGAGAAATAGACGGTTGACACTTGCACGGCGAGATCCAGCAGGTTTAAGTCTAAATATTTCAATGTATTTCTGTAAAGATAATTTTGATATAAGTTTGTACATATTTCGTAAATTCTACAATGATGTGTGACCTTAATTGATGTCTAAAATTTCATAAGTTCAATATTTTCTGAGATTACAATTTATCTCTTGAATAACCAGTAATATTTATTTCAATGAGTGCTTTATTCATATTCCAGTTACCACAATATGATAATATGGTCAATTATTATGGACAATGGGTTTGGTGTCGCAGGTTCGCATGAAACCAGGCTGTATTCTCACAAAATTTGAATGCCAAATAGATAGAAAAAAACGAACAACTAAGATTACTATAGATAACAGAAAAGATTAATTTCATTTACTATTTACCATAATTTATCAATTTAGACAATAACCATTAAAATCATTGTCTGTTATCATACATACCTAATATTTTAACCCGCTAAGCATTTATTATAGAAAAAGTAAATTATCAAATATCTACTAAATACTTTGTCAACTTTGTTTGATTTATTGTTTGTAAAAAGAAATGCAGATTGTATTTACCTAGGTATGTTATTAAGTCCTGCATTTTATTTGTGTCTAATAATTTGCTATTTTTACTTTTTAGTTTTGCGACAACATATAAGAAAATTTAACAGAAAACATTGCCCGAGAATGACTGATAAGTCTATTTAAGTATTTATTACTCACAAGTTCAGAAGTAAAGCCGTTCAAAGAGAAAATAAATTAATAAATCAGATGGCATCACCCTTGAAACCTCATACCCATTCTGTTTCTACATCACCATTTAAAGTTACAAGAGGCAATTTCACGTTGCCATGGACATCCACATTACATAAACCTTCTCCAATCAATCATCACCATCAACAATATCTCTCCAAATCAAATCTATATTAGACTACAGTGAGATGATACAATACGATAGAAAACAGGAGGCATCTAAAATTCTGGAATGTACCTCGCTTAAAATTACAAAGAGCCCGCGATCTTACATTGGAGTTCCCAAAAGCTGTTATTACTTAATTGATTTAATAGAAAAACATACTAATATCCCTGCTAACAAGATACTCATGTGTAAAGAAAATTAGATTAAATAACCAATTTAGAGAGCTTACTGATGGCTTTTGTGGAAATTATAAACTACGATTATAAAATGTATTTTAGCGACAGGTAAAGCGAAAACAATAGTTTTTTTGTTAAAATTGCAGTGATCGCGCGTAAGCTCAAACGAAACAAGATGACGTTTATTAAGGCGTGACGTAATTCACTCTGATTGGTGTTTAAGCTATCATGGCTGACTGTAGTATTTTGTAGATATATTTTAACAAATAAATCATCAATCTCGTCATTAATATGAAAATAAATACATTTTTCAAAATCCTTGAATCCTGTTTCAGTAGATCAATTTAATATTTGGGCGATACTTGACTACTGTCATCATGCCTATTGGACCGATATGCACAAGAAGCTTCGGTGTCACGGGATTAAGAGTCCTTTCCAACAAGGTATCCAAAGATGGCATGTTTGTGTCTACCCTATGTGCACTTGCTAGCGCTGTGTTCGGCAAGCGCGTATTTACCGAAGCAGGCAACGTTTACAAAGACGAGACGGACTCTTACCAGAACGCGCTGAGGGTCTAGTTTTCCTGCATCATTTACCTTTGATAAATTTTAATTGTATTAATTTAACTACTTATGTTTGAAATTGATAATTCTTATTTCTCATTCTCCTTTAAGATTATTAAACATTTTTTGTTATTTTATAAACAAGTCTGTTTAATTTTAATTTTCATTATTTCGCTCGAATTGATATTTTATTAAAACAGAGTATTCTCGTTATTTGAACCGAGTTGTTCGTGCGGGTGCGCGGATCAAAACAAATTGCCAAACACGCCGGGCACCGCCGGGCACTACACGACTACTCGGCCGTCTCTAATGTATGCGTTTTCATTATTGTAAGAGATGCGTTTATTTACCTCTTCTACTTTATTTTATATTCAATGACTATCACACTTAAACAGCAAACTCCATTCATTGGAGCCGATCCGCACATTTATGAAATGTAATTACAATTGTATCAGCTAGTGCTTCTATACATTTAACACCGACGCGATCGAACAGTACAGGGTTCACACTTGAATTTGTAGCGAGCTGTCCCACGCACGGGCGTTGACCTGTCGCAGCGTGGAGCGCAGCGCGGCCGCCGGACCCAACGTGACCGTCAGCGGCACGTGCTGGTCCCGCGGCCGCGCGTACAGCACGTGCAGCGTCTGCTCCCAGCGCACAGGCCGCGTCACGTGCCGCGCCAGCTGCGCCCGCACGTGCCTCGCGTCGCGGTACGGGCGCGCGTCCACGGCCGACACCACGCGCACCCGCGGCTCCGCCACCTGCAGCACGTGCAGCGCCGCCCGCACCGCGTCCTCCGCGCGCGCCATCAGCTCCGTGTGGAACGCGCCCTCCACCCGCACCCGCGCCGCCCTGCGCACGCCGAACTCGGGCCCGCGCCGCTCCACGAACCGCAGCGCCTCCTCGTCGCCCGCCACCACCTTGCAGCCCGGGTACAGGTAGTTGGCGACGCGGCACACGGGCGCCGCCACGCCGCACTCGGCCGCGTGCTCTCTGGCCCGCAGCAGCGCATGCGACAGGTTGGCGTCTGCGCCGAGCCAGACGGTGAGCATGCCGCCGCGACGCTCTTGGCTGCAGGCGCGCATGGCGGCCGCGCGGATGTCGACCAGCCGCAGCGCGCCCTCGAGTGTGAGCGCTCCCGCGAAAGTGAGCGCCGTGATTTCGCCGAGCGAGAAGCCGGCGGCGGCTCGAACTCGCTCGAGCGCGGAGGGTCGCTCGTCTCGCAGTCGTTCGAGGGACGCTAGTGACGTCACCAACGTGGCGATCTGACAGTGTCGACTCAGTTCTTCTTCAGGTCCCTCAGTGCAAACTCGAGCCACATCCCATCTACAAAAGAGCACATTCAAAGTTGATAGTGTGTTGTTTATACTTAATAATTAAAAAGCAATAAATCAAGTCAAATTTTTGGTAATAAATTTAAAAGGGCACTATTAAGCAACTTTTTAATTTATTTATTACTTCGAGCAACAGAGATATTTATACAGATTATTTTTTTATTTTTTTATTTCTTAGGTGACTGACAGAGCTGCAATTATCAACGACACCCAGTTCCATTTTTCTCTGTATCAACTTATGTTTATCAACCTTTTTTACATGTATTTTTTTAATTTTTTAAGGAAGGAAGGATTACTTGTGGCCCATGAATCTTGCTGCCCTTGTGCTGTTGTAAGAGGAGTTTGGGTTTAATGTGGAATTTTATTGAGAATAATAGTAAAATGTAAAATTAGAAATGAATAGAACAACATTTGTAGTCGTCGTGGCCTAAAGGATAAGACGTCCGGTGTATTCGTGTTGAGCGATGCACCGATGTTCGAATCCCAGGCAGGTACCAATTTTTCTAATGAAATATGTACTCAACAAATGTTCACGATTGACCTCCACAGTGAAGGAATAACATTGTGTAATAAAAATGAAACCTACAAAATTATAATTTGCGTAATTACTAGTGGTAGGATCTCTTGTGAGTCCGCGCGGGTAGGTACCACTGACCTGCCTATTTCTGCCGTGAAGCAGTAATGCGTTTTGGTCTGAAGGGTAGGGCAGCCGTTGTAACTATACTGAGATTGTAGAACTTATATCTCAAGGTGGGTGGCGCATTTATGTTGTAGATGTCTATGGGCTCCAGTAACCACTTAATACAAGGTGGGCTGTGAGCTTGTCGCATCCATCTAAGCATTAAAAAAAAAAAACCTGCAGTCTATTGCCTACATTACTTACATACTGCTTAATTAAATTTAAGTGTTTTCCTTTTACTAACTGACTTGACTTATTAAATAAAATAAATGAAAACTGCTAAGCAGCATAACTAGTGGTGACAGGCTTTTACTAGTACTAAGACAAATTGAAAGCCTGCACAGGTAGGTACCACCATTCTGTCTTTTTGTGCCACAAAGTATTTGGGATTCTTGTTTGAAGTGTGCAATAAGCATTTTATAATGTGTTTGAGACTGACCTCATTTGATAAGACAGACACTTGGTTAAATGAACGAACATCGTTCAAAATTATATGCAAAAAGAATTTTTTTCTTTTTATTCATATAATATTATGTATTTTATATGACCTAATTTAATATTTTTAACAAAGGTAATCCTTACTTATGTAGATAGTTTACCATAAAATAAATACAAAAAATTAATACAATTCTTTTTGCACAATTATAAGATCATTCAAATAAGATAATTTGCATCTTTAATCTTATCTTAATTTAATCTTTACAGAATTTATGTTAATTTTTAGTCTAGATATCATACTCTGTAGGATACTTCTATTGCTAGTACTGTAATCACTCACCACCCACTCACTTAAATTCGAGCTCTGTGTTTTATGAGACAGTTGTACTCTAACCTTCCGAGATTTAAATTATCAATTATAGTTAGCACAAATGTTACTACTTACCCAACAATGCTAGAGGCTAATTCGTAGAGTTCTCTTACTGGGGGCAGATGCATTAGTTTCTTGCCCATTCCAACATGTTGCGAGCCCTGGCCTGGAAACAGCAGAACGGTAGTGTGCGAGGGCTCCACACGTGCCTTGTTCGTATCGCCCTCGTTGGGCCGCACCGCATACGGCTGAGTGGCCCAACGCAGCTCAGGTTCCGTTGCNCAATGTATAATTTAGCAGGAGAGTTCAGTTAATTGTTGGAGCAACAGGGCGACGACCAAACGCAGGTCCAGCGATGCAAGTTCACGCCCGGCCGCCCGAGTACTTTTTTGAATGTTTGTAATTTCTTCGACTCGACACACTCAAAGCGCACACGCGTGTCAAGCAAACAAGCACCCACAGGCAGGCTCAAGCGAGAAGCAGCCACAATAAGAAAGCTAAGGCGTATCTTACCAAGCTTCTATCTCTGTTACACCGCCCAAAAGGCGGAGTCAGCTGTTAAAAACGTTAATGAAGAACAAGGAGCCACCGATGAATTGAAAACGACCAATCACAATTTAAAATTAATAAATTTAAACTTAAATGAAACGATAATGCCACAACAACCACGGAGACGTCCACTATCTACGGTCGCAAAGCTATGACATGAAATGATGAACACAATCCATAATTTAAGCACAATACACAACATAGTGTAAATTAAGCTGGTTTCTATTCCGAAGCGATGTGATGTGAATGATAATCAACAATACAATGATCAAAGAAAGTATGTGCATGTTATATTTTAGAAAATCATTATTTAATTTCCTTAAAAATCACAACTCTGAAACAATATCATAAAATAAAATAAAAAATAGAAAACAAAAGGACTGGAAATGCAATAATACAATTTTATTTAATCAACATTTTCAAAATAATGTTTGAGCCAATAATAACAAAAATAAAAGAATTTTTTTCTAAGCTAAATAACTAAACTCAATTAATTCACTCACTCATAATTGGATATCTCGGATTTTTAATTAATGTTACATTTAAAATCTGAGGCCTGTTTTTATTTGTGTGTGCGTTGTGAATGTTAAAAAAATCACGATTCGACGCGTGAATAGATTCTGAAATAATAAAAGTTTTGATTCGTTTGAGCTCTTTTTAATTTTTAATTTTTTTTTATTGCTATAAAGGACATACGACCGGGCAGATATTACAAGGTAAATGTCGCGAAAAAAAAGTAATTATATATATACTTTTCTTTTACCTATAATGCTTACATAAACTAACTGATAAACACATTAACCTTCTTCACATCACGCAATTGAGTGATAGTATAGGCTAAAAAATCTATTATAAGATATCAGTGACAACCCTAACAAGCCATCCCTATTTTGTCTTTTGGCGTTCCAATTTTGTGTTTTCTCGTCCCTAAATTTTCCAGTCTCGTTCCAAATTACCCCACATACGTCCCAATTTTCCCCAAAAAGAAAGGAAAAAATATACATTTTTTATTTTGTCAAAATATTGTATTTAAAATAAGAATATTGCAACTTACCGTTTGTTGTGGTATTTCCAGGTGTATTAAAAACTTATATAAACTGTGATCTTATTGAAAAAACAACGATAATATTACTTTTTTTAAAAGTTCTTTAAACTGTTTTAAAACGCACTTTTCAACCAGTATTTTCAATTTAATTTGACGAATTTTTGGGACCAACTGCTTAACTCATATTTAATACTTCCATAGGTTAACTAGGTTTTTCTTCTATACATTGATAAATATTATCATAAACAAAATTAAGTAGATTCTGTGCTACAGGTACTTTGAGAATCTTCCGCAGGTTTGTCCCAATTTACCCCAGAATCCCAATTTACTCCATGTCATGGTACCTACTTTATTCTATCACCGGTCACTCACATGCGCACGAATACGCAAACCCACAAGTGTAGAACGACATTTGCGAATGATTATGCAGTTTTCGCTGCATTCGTGGTTTTCCAAGCTGTGTCGGTTTTTTAACAGACATCAAAGCGCGCGAACCTCGAACCTTCGTGTAGTCTTCCACACATTCGCTTGCCCAATTGCGCTGACGATTGCGAAGGTAACGGACGTATACTATACGCCATTTTCATAGTTTGTGACGTCTAATGTGTAGCGTATCTTCATCAAAAGAAATCCCCTAAAAACAGCATGGCTGTTAATGATGTCTGGGAAAGAATTAAAAACTCTTTTTCTCTTCAATGTTCTATTGACGAATTAAAAAGGAGGAGAAATTCGTGAGACATTCGTAAACAAGTGTAGGAGGAAGCGCAAACGGGTTCGCAAATTGAGTATGCGAACCCATTTGCACAGCCGCTAGGTTTGCGAATGAATGTTTGACGGCCCTTCACATGCGCGCATGTCAGTGGCCGACATAGAATGTTGATCAAGTTTTTTTTATTTATTTCTTAAAACTATCGTTGGAGCTCAGGTTTAACTGCCGCTAAGACTTCCGTTGTCTATGCATAAATCATTACACAGTTAAGTTTTTTTTTGGAACGAAGTTCCTTATGGGACGATGCGGAGGGGTACCCTAACCGGGAAAAAACGTCCGTAACGTAAGATTTTTATTATTAATTCACACAGTGTACGACTTAACGTACAAAAAATAACATATTTTTTTATCATTAATTGACCACGATCTCAGAGCGTTCGTTTGCGCAATACACTAACTCTTACACCGGTCACTCACATGCGCACGAATACGCAAACCCGCAAGTGTAGGACGACATTTGCGAATGATTATGCAAAGTTTTCGCTGCATTCGTGGTTTTCCAAGCTGTGTCGGTTTTTTAACAGACATCAAAGCGCGCGAACCTCGAACCTTCGTGTAGTCTTCCACACATTCGCTTGCCCAATTGCGCTGACGATTGCGAAGGTAACGGACGTATACTATACGCCATTTTCATAGTTTGTGACGTCTAATGTGTAGCGTATCTTCATCAAAAGAAATCCCCTAAAAACAGCATGGCTGTTAATGATGTCTGGGAAAGAATTAAAAACTCTTTTTCTCTTCAATGTTCTATTGACGAATTAAAAAGGAGGAGAAATTCGTGAGACATTCGTAAACAAGTGTAGGAGGAAGCGCAAACGGGTTCGCAAATTGAGTATGCGAACCCATTTGCACAGCCGCTAGGTTTGCGAATGAATGTTTGACGGCCCTTCACATGCGCGCAAACATTCGTACAATGTACGAATATTTGCGCGCATGTCAGTGGCCGGCATAAAATGTTTACCCTTTACAAAACATAGATCTAAAATTACTTTTTTTTAAAGGGATTTTATGATCTGGTACTAAGACCTTTAGGTCCAATCTTATTTTAATTTTAATGAAAACTTTTTAATAAAAAAATTTCCTATATATAACTTAACATAATATAAATAAATGGTGAAGATGTTGTTTCTTTATACACGTAATTCCCTATTTCAAGAGAAATTTTATTTAAGGATGAAAACTTAAGAGAACCGTTATACTACACACCGCAAAATAAGAGAGTATTCTTTATTGTACACCAAAAAACAAATAAACAGTGCGATACATTAAACACAAAAAAGTACAATTGGCGGTCTTATCGCTAAGAGCGATCTTGCATAATACGCGATAAGCTCCACTTCTTTCACGTGCATCAAGTTGCACGCGCACCATATTTTATTTTGATTTCTTGGTTAACAAAACGCTAGTAAATACGGCCATTGCCAGCTGACGTGACAAAACCGGCGCATGCGCAATGTAAGCGTGAGGTGATAGTTTGCTTATTAGATATAAAATAATTAATAATTGAGAATTTAATTGTTTTTATGATCAAACAATCATCAGTAGTCGTCGAACAAACGATAATTGATCATTTGTTTAATTAATTATAAATAAATAAAAGACGAACAAACAAACAAAAGGGAGGCCAAATTCAGTGAGCCCTGTCATTATTAGCCGTGTGATGTGTCTCGCATTTGAATCGGATAACATGATCATAGATAATACACTTAAATTCACTAATATTTGAACGTGATAATCTATGGTATTGTGTATCACAGTGTAATATTTTAAAGAATATTAAATTTAAAACCGAATTTACTACATACATTTTTTACAGTTTAGTAATAATTAGGAAATCTGTCAAAAAGAATAATAACCTAAGTGCTTCACTTTGCTGTAATTCGTATTAGTTTATAAGACGACGTTTTCTGAGGTATGTTGCCTTGTCCACGATTAGTTTCTTTGTTGACGTCGAAATTTGAATTATTTCACGTCAACTTCTTGGTAATTAAAGAAAAATCGTATACATTACCACAGCTGGATTAAATTTACGGAGTTCCCGTATTCTCTTGACATCTAACCTCTGGGCTGTCATAGAAAATTTAACGAAGTTCAACTTCAGCAGTACACAATGGCTCGCGGACACCAGAAAATTCAGTCACAAGCTAAAGCTGCGGAAAAGATGTCCAAAATGAAGAAACAGCAGGGGCACAGTGCCACCGACCAGAAGAAAGCTGCACAAAAGGCACTTGTCCATGTTTGTGTGGTTTGTAAGGTAATGTCTAACATATGTTTCAGTGTAAGTGAAAGCTCTGGCAGACAGCATTTCATGGTGAATGTATTGTTACAGGCCCAGATGCCTGACCCTAAGACTTACAAACAGCATTTTGAGAACAAACACCCTAAGAACGATCTACCAGATGACTTGAAGAATATCTAACACAATCAGTATCATCTAGATTTGTATTTATTTATCACATAAAAACTATGACTTTGCCTTTTATTGTTTCTTTCAAGACATTTCAATTGCTATTCAGACTTATTTACATTGATTGGTTAATTTTAAGTGATTTATCTTAAGTGTTTGAAGATGTGCTTCACAATTATGAATTTTGGGTAATTTAGTTTACTTTAATTTAGATTAAAATTAGTTTATGAATTTACTACAAACTTCGCCAATCAGATTGGTAGGAAGGTAGAATCTCAGACGCAGTAAAATTATATAATAATCAGGGAAACAGAGACTTAAAGAAAGCACATTTATTAGAAATTGCTAAGAATGAGACTTTATTTCATATTTTAGTCAAAGAAAATAATGGTATTTTTTATATAAATATACAGAAAAGTCTCAAAACCACTTCAAAAAATGATTTTACGTACAATTTGTAACTCAACAATTAGTCAAACACACCGATAACCATACCAACAACATCAGTGACAAGTTTGAAAATCACTAAAATTAAGATATGACAAATTGATCACTACCTAATATTATATACCTAGTAGGATAAAGTAGATTAGGCAACAATTAAAAAATATGCACTGTTATTTAATTATTTTTTTTAATTATAGAAAAATTTATGTTACTAATTTAAAATTTTACTGTAGTTACTTTTTATTATTAATCAAGAATTTTACTGATTTTCAAGGTGATGATGCCATAAGTGGCATAAATAATGAAAAGCCATTACCTCAAAAAATGTATCCTGTACATGGTATGCCTTTCATCATTCTATCAATTAATATAATATTGACTTATCTATCAATAATTTTTATTGATAGATAAGTCTCCAGTATTAAAGTCATTATTATTTTCATGCTTCGAGTTCAAATTAAAACAATGTTTTGGGTTAATAATAAAAGCAAAACTACATTTGAGTCGTACACAGAATAAGCTAAGGTATCTGTTTCAATAAAGCCAACTATGACGACAACTGCTTCTTTCCGGCGGTGTAGAAAGAAACGGACGTTACCAGCATACACAAACCTGGAAAACTTAAAAACGAACCTGCGAGCTTCCGTCCGATCAGCCTCTACCCAGCGTGAGACTAATTAAACCAACGGCTATTACACAAACGCCTTCATCGGCTTGAAAAGCATTCTCATCGACAAACAGTTCGGATTCCGCGCAAAACACTCGTGGGTTCAGCAAGTGCACCGCCTCACGGATTACATCTTGGTAGGGCTAAATAGACGCAGACCCGTCCCGTCAGTCTCGTGCTCATCGACGAGACTTCTCGTCGAGCTGTTTGTTTCGGTATCGAGTTGAGAGAACTCGATTTTTTTTCGGGCCGGGTGCCGAACCTCCTACGGGGTACCCGCGCGTAGGGGGCGTGCGGGGTATGTGGGATTTGACAATCTGCAGATGTTGGGAGCAGACCGCGGGCCCAAGGATATTTATAGGGCCCTACCGCACTAAACGACTCGCCTGCACTCTCGTAACGTGTGTGCTAGTCGTTCTTCAATTTTCGCGTAGATCGCGGTCCGAATGGTTGTTCGTGCGTTTGCTTGTAAAATGACTTCGTCCCGCGACTGGCTAGAAGCATTTATTGCAGTGTATATTAGAACATATCGTAATGAAACTTGTCTATGGAAAATTAAGTGCTTTTTCATTATTGGCGATACCATGGACAGCAGATGTAAATAAGTATCAGTATCATGGAGTTAATAAGTACCTACAACTGGAGTGCTGTCTAATGCCGAGAAATCGGTCTCGAAAGAGAATACTTTTTGGTCGCGGTGTCCTTGTCTAATGTGGTGACCATATAAAATTTATTTATAGGACAAAATTATACACATGCATCAGTTTTGAATTTACCTTAAGTAATTCTGTGTAACCCTATGTAAATACAAAACACGTGCTTGCAACGTTTTATTTATGTAAATTCAATTCTAAACATTGCTTCGTCGTCATGGTGACTTTTTTTCGACGATTTTTTTTGGAAATTGCTGCGTTGTCGAAAATCNAGTCCAGGTCGTCATGGAGGTCGACGTTCCTGACGAACCACGGGGCTCCGACGGCTATCCTGCAAAAACGGGATTGGATTATTTGAAATGATTTTAAGTGTATGCGGGCCGCGTGAGCGAACACTACACTTGCATAGGTCATGACGGGGCGTATGCAAGTTTTGTAGAGTGTCACCTTATTTCTAAGGGACATTTTACTTCGCCTACATATCATCGGGTAGAGACGTCCTAGAATGAAGGCGGCACGATCGCGTACCGTCTTGATGTGGGGGCGGAATGTCATCCTACTGTCGAGGGTGACGCCTAAGTATTTGACCTTCGGGGCCCACGGTATGGGCTGGTCGAACATCGTGATTGGGCGAACGGCGGGGGCGGGGGTGTTGACGCGCCTAGTCGGGAGAGACGGGAAGCCAAATAGTCGATAGCGTTGGCTGGAGTCCTAATTGATTACAATGTGCTTTTTATTTTTTTATTGCTTATATGGTTGGACGAGCTCACAGCCCACCTGGTGTTATGTGGTTACCGGAGCCCATAGACATCTACAACGTAAATACGCCACCCACCTGGTCCTCGAGATATAAGTTCTAATGTCTCAAGTATAGTTACAACGGCTGCTCCACCCTTCAAACCGAAACGCATTACTGCTTCACGGTTGAAATAGGCGGGGTGATGGTACCTACCCGCGCGGACTCTCAAGACGTGCTACCACCAGTGATTACGCAAATTATAATTTTGCCGGTTCGATTTTTATTGCACGATGTTATTCCTTCACCGTGGAAGTCAATCGTGAACGTATCGTTCAATCGTTTAGGTAATTCTTCTTCTGGCTTTCTCAGTTTTTTGTTGTCCTAACAAGCTGAGAGCCTTGAGACGCTATATCAGCGTAACCTTAACTAGTAGGTGAGCTCACGGGGCTCAAACCTGACGACGTTGCTAACACGAACCCTAGCAAGAGCCGTGCTTCGCAGAATCTACCGCCGGATCGGAAACGCGACCCACTGAGAAGATCCGGTGGAAAAGATCCTTAAAATCTTCTCAGTCCTGTGGTTACGTTTCGTAGACAAGTCGATTTGAAACAAATGCTTATGGATCTGTGTTTTCAGTATCTGCACGAGATAGGACACAAAGTGTGCGTCACACAGCCAAGGGTCACGGCGGCTGTGTCGCTTGCGTATCGCGTGGCCCAGGAGATAGGAGGCGCAATCGGTCAGGAAGTTGGCTACGCCGCCGGCATGGTATCCGCCAGGACGCCAGAATCTGGGATTGTGGTATGTTCCATTTATTTATGTTTTATTATTGGGACGGGGCAATGAGCTCACGGCTCATCTGGTGTTGTTAAGTGTTTAGCGGATCCCATAGAAACGTTACATTGAAAATTTGGGGCTCTATCGCCGCTTGTATCGCGCTCTCGCTTGCACGCTCAGACTCAAGCGGAACGTGACACTTTTTATTGCGTGCAATCGATTTTCATAAGACTAATCACGTCAAATAAAACAACCGATCTATTTGTATGTACCTACCGTTTTCGACATCCGGATATGTATCCGAACTATGGTAGTGTTGATTGTTCTTTTTTGGCGTCATTGTTAAGGTTCTAGATGTTTCGTAAACGTTATATTGTATCGACGAAACAATTGAGAAATGTTGTTTAGAGGTATTTATATGCTAATTAAGGAATTACGCAGTAGCGTTATTGGGGCAGTCGTATCTCATCCGGTGATTGTTGAAGTGAAACTTCTTTACCGACGCAGGGAGGAAAAAACGTATGTAACGTTTTTCGGTTACGCGCCATCTTAATTTCTTCCGTTACGCCCCATGTTTATTTTATTTCTATTTAGTTTGTTATCAACAGACTTCGCTGCACGTAAATTCAACAATTCATGAATCGCGGTGACGAGATGTTACACACTTGATATACGTTCTCGTATTTCTCTTGCTAAATCATACTTACCTGATGTAAGGATACCGTGATCATGCAGGCGGTTCCCCCAGCGTGAGGCTGCTCCATTGCACTGCGGAGTGATTGACCCTTGCGATTATTTTTATATTTTATAAGTTCCACTTCTACCGTGTGTGACTTGCACACACACACACTTTTTGGCTTTATTTGTCCCCTACATAGCCGCTGGTAGCCTAAGACTCCTAAGAGGCTATCCAGCTACGCGCGGACGGGTGGGTGAGCTCATGGGCTCAACCTGAGAGAACTAACACTAGCCCTAGCAAGAGCAGTGCTCCGCTGAATCTATTGAGAAGACCCACTGAGAAGATCCGTCGAGAAACTCAGTGGACTGTGTCTGTGGGGATTTGAAATGATGTGATCTTCGCTCGTCTGTCTTTTACTAACAAATGACGTTGAATTTTTTTTACTTGTGCTATAACGCACGGTGACACAAAAATTGTCCTTATTCTAGAGTATTCCAAACACCGGATTAACCTTGAGCATATTCAACCGTCTGTCTAGGCAATAGAAACCAAATTACAATTGTAACTAACCAATACGTTCATATATCTATGTATTGTTACGCGCTAGGGCTCGGGTTCCAGTAGGAATAGTCTTTTCGACATGCCCTTTCGCTATTTGATAATAGATGGCGTTACCATTCTCGAGCGTTCTCGATATTACTAGTTCTTTTGATATTCCTTTCTGCTATTCGATGACAGATGGCGTTACTCTTACTGGCGTAACAGTGTGTATGTAATTTTAATTAGTTTCAAAATGTCTGATTCACTTGAAAATCTACACGCGCATCGAAGTCTGACGTCCTGACTACTTAATCATCCTGACTAGAGTTACCTTTATCAAAATGCTTATCGTAATTTATAGTTGAGCGTGCTATTAAGCGCGCTTCTTTTAGTGTTTAAAAGCCATATATTTATAACATATTGAGAAATAGCGTGTGATTTTTGTGCTGCGTTTTTTTTATTATTACTTAGTTTGGTGGACGAGCTCACAGCCCACCTGGTGTTAAGTGGTTACTGGAGCCTATAGACGTCTACAACGTAAATGCGCCACCCACCTTGAGATATAAGTTCTAAGGTCTCAGTCTCACAAGAGGTCCTAACCACCAGTAATTACGCAAATTATAATTTTGCGGTCTTGATTTTTATTACACGATGTTATTCCTTCACCGTGGTAGTCAATCGTGAACATTTGTTGAGTACGTATTTCATCAGAAAAATTGGTACCCGCCTACCATGGATTCGATTCGAACACCGGTGCCTCGCTCAACACGAATGCACCGGACGTCTTATCCTTTAGGCCACGACGGCAAAATATTTATATTGAATTAGTCTTTGTTAAATGCTTCAGTTAACTCATGACAAAGTTGAGCGGTCGAAATTGATGACGCGATTTGAGGCTATTAATTGTAATGCCCGAAGGCTTCCCTGCTCTTCAAGGCTCTAGACGGTACTTCCTCGTGTAGCGTTTTTTATTGCTTAGATAGATTGGCCAGCTAATGACCAACCTGGTGTTAAATGTTCACCGGAGCCCATATACATCTACAACGTATAAGCCGTCTCGAGACAACAGCTCTAAGGTCTCAGTTTTATTAGTACAACGGCTGCCCCGCCCTTCAAACCTAAACGCATTACTGCTCCACGACAGAAATAGGCAGGGTGGTGGTACCTACCTTTGCAGACTCACAAGAAGTCCTACCATCAATGAAAAAATCGGTTGTTTGTAAAGTCGGCTTACTGACGATAGTTGAACGTGATAACGTCATAAGAAAATACGCCTCAGAGCGAGGTAACGCCGCATGAGTCATGTTTTTTCGTGCGTGCAACCGCCTCCATCGAATTATAAGACGTTGTCACGTCAAAACGTATCTACGGTGCTGCGATTTTGGAATTACACAGACTCGTATTGTCCTCAGTTCATGACGGAAGGCGTATTGCTTCGAGAGATGTTCGCTTCGCCTCTGCTGATGCAGTATTCTTGCATCATACTCGATGAGGTAAGAATTTATTTTGACCCTCCTATGAAGGAATGTGGGTAGTCTAGTTGGGTTTTAAGGTTTGTACCTCGCATTTGTTTTATTGTCATTATATTTCATTGTGCAGTAGTCCCCTTTAAAACACGGTATTCTTATAACGCATTTTCATATTACGCGTGTTTCTGTTCCTCGTATAACACGTGTATATAGCACGGGGATTTAGCACGTTATATTTCTGTACTGTAAAATTTATAATGATTTGTATAGTTCGTAATTAATTTCGCGGTCCTTTGCACCTTGCGTCAAATGTGTTCTTATAAAATATTTTTTTATAATTTATAAATAAATATGTGTTCCTAGTTTTTGAATTGTAAAAACATTGGGTATACTTTGTATATAACGCGTTGTATGTGATCATAAAAGCGTGTTATGCGAGAATACTCCTACAACGCGTTTTGTATAACTCGGTCTCGATCTACCGTGTTATAAGGGGGTTATATTACTGTAATGCCAACCTTTCGAATACAATTTTCTGGACCGCAAGAAGGATCTACGACCTATTGAGGTTCATGAGGATCTGCTGGGGGTATAAATAAATACATATTATATAGGATAGATCGGGGTAACATGTAATATTTAGTGCAAAATAAAAAATATGATTTAAAAAATGACTTGAAATTATTTATTATGGTATCTTACCCTCACTTACATCATAATTCTTACAGCAACTTGGCCTTAATATAATATTTATAAATAAATTCGCAACAAAAAATTACTCTTCTACAGCAAAAGTATGGTTACTTTAGTATGTACTTTGTAATACAATAAGGATTTTGGATAAATAAGTATTTGTTAAGTTTCTAGTAAATACATGCACAAGAGATACTAAATGAAAGCGGGACATTTTTGTTCTCCTCGAACAAAGCGGGACAATCCCGCCCAAAGCGGGACGTATGGTCACGTTATTTTTTTTTTCATACTTAAGCTGATAACCTTAAGAGACTATATCAGCGTCGCCTTAACTAGTAGGTGAGCTCACGGGGCTCAAACCTGACGACGTTGCTAACACGAACCCTAGCAAGAGCCGTGCTTCGCAGAATCTACCACCGGATCGGAAACGCGACCCACTGAGAAGATCCGGCGAGAAACTCAGTGGGCTGTGTCTGAGAGTTAATTTACTCGTCGAGCCCTTCGTCGCAAGCGACGGGTTCGACGANCGCCTTAACTAGTAGGTGAGCTCACGGGGCTCAAACCTGACGACGTTGCTAACACGAACCCTAGCAAGAGCCGTGCTTCGCAGAATCTACCACCGGATCGGAAACGCGACCCACTGAGAAGATCCGGCGAGAAACTCAGTGGGCTGTGTCTGAGAGTTAATTTACTCGTCGAGCCCTTCGTCGCAAGCGACGGGTTCGACGAGAACGATGACCGGTGCTTGAGGTACCTAAAAGCACCGTTAGTGGATCGGGGGGATCCGAAATGACGTGTTTGGGGCGACGTCGACTGCTTTCCATTCTGTCCGCAGGATCGGGAATGTAGTTACCGGCGGCCACGATGAGAGGGTTCTCGTGTCGTGCCGCTTTATCGAAGTGGTCACGTTAGTCATGGATGGCCCCGTAAACGCAATTTTGATGACATGTAATTCGTTTATACCGGGTTGTACAAAGTTGGATCTATAAATAATGTTCATTGTTAAGGGCAGTGTTATAACTTTTTTATCGCTAGGCTTATCACATATAAAACGATCGTTATTTACGTAAACGTTATCTTTTATTATAGTATATAATAAAATGTATGAATTGCTTTTGCTCGAGATATGCCTTTCATTTTATTCCGCCTTTGAATTATGATCGCTTAATATGTATGAGTGAGTCACAACGAAGGTCAATTGATTAAGGGATACTAATAGATAGATAAATTTTAAGTTTTCGAATTTTTAAATTTGTCGTAACGTATATGTTTATAAGTATTAATACGCTTTTTTTATTTATTAGCTTCAGACGTATGTATGTATGTTTGTAACGGAATCTTTGAACATGATTTTGACCCCCTTCAAAACGTCGGATTAACTCGAAATTTGGTATACTTATTAAGGACAGATGACAATTCAATATTTAAAAAAAATACATGGAAAAAAAAAATTGAATTTCAACTAAAAAATGAAAAATAAATAATAGTTTAAAACTAACAAAATACGCTTTCATAGAAAATACAACCCAAAAATAGAGAATAAATTTTAATAAATTTGAAATAAAACTATTGTAAGAAAAAATAATTTTATTGTAAAAGAGCGTGGGGATTTCAGGATATTATCAAAATAACCCTTCTACTCAATCTGTTCATAACATATAACTACTTTTAGTATAAAATTTGTTTTTTACAATAAAACCTTCCTAATAATGTTTTTCAACCGTCTTCTAATTACGGGATTATAAAGCTCCTAATCTATACTAATATATTATATAAATGTACAGTGGTTTTTACGGATGTTCGGTTATAACTACTGAACCATGCATCCGATTGACTTGAAACTTGGTATCCATGTAGAAAATACCTGTACTTTTTTTATTTTTTTTTATTTCTTAGATGAGTGGACGAGCTCACAGCCCACCTGATGTTAAGTGGTTACTGGAGCCCATAGACATCTACAACATAAATGCGCCACCCACCTTGAGATATAAGTTGTAAGGTCTCAAGTATAGTTACAACGGCTGCCCCACCCTTCAAACCGAAACGCATTACTGCTTCACGGCAGAAATAGGCAGGGTGGTGGTACCTACCCGCGTGGACTCTAAAAGAGGTCCTACCACCAGTAACTCAAAAGAGGTCCTACCACCAGTAAAAACTTAACTTAATGGATAGACTAATATTTATATGAGTGTTGGACTCCCTACACCAGTTGCGGGGACGTTAATGATGAGAATCTTTGTGGGGTTAAGAAATAATAATGTTAATTTTAAATGCCCAGCGAAACGGACGGGTACAGCTAGTAACTCATAAATACGAATAAGACACCTATATTAATTTGTTTGTAAGCAATTGTAGAGGTGACGGTAAACTTATACTTACGAATCGATATAAAATTAAATTATTGTATTTATAATGTGATACTTTTTCAGGTTCACGAAAGGTCACTAATGACCGATGTGCTAATGGGATTATTAAAAAAAATAATTAAAGTAAGTATCTTGATTTTCAATTATCATAATTGAATTCTCTCTTAGTCAAATCCAAAGAGTTTTTAAGCTTTTGTGTGCTTAAAGGCGCTTTCAAATATTCAAACATTGATATTTAAGCGGACTGCCAAGAAAGTCAGGGTTAACTTGTTTCCAAACTGCAATACCGGAAATATATTTGTAGGCAGTGGCTTGGCTCTGCCCCTGGCATTGCTGAGGTCCATGGGCGACGGTAACCACCACCATCAGGTGGGCCGTATGCTCGTCTGCCTACAAGGGCAATAAAAAAAAAATCGTCATCTCGCATTAAAACTGTATAATCTCAAAACTTACTAATTTTACAGTGTTTTAAAGGTTTAACATGTGGTATTTTTAATATTAATCATCTTTGCAACATTTATTTTTGATTTTTTACCAGTTACATTATCTTTCGTTTAAATTAAGATAAAATTATGTATTAATTTTGTTAATAGTAGTCAAAACATATGTAAACTAAAACTAAACTACGCTCTTTTGACAGTGTTTATGAGTAAAATACTGGTGATACCAAATGATTCCGCATATTAACTCAGTTTCGAATATTTTTGGAAATTGTACACTTTTAATGCGAAAAGACGATATATTTTATTTTGTATTGATTATGTATATAGACTAGAATTAGAATAAACAGGTCTGAAGAGCTTTGAAAGTGAGTGGTGCTCAATACGTCTGAAGCCAAACTTCAAAATCGCTCGATTTCGTCGGTAATCATTCATCAATGTCTCTACTTCTAAGTCTTTAATTCTGACTCTGACATTTTCTTATTATATTTTTTTTCTTTACTATCGTTACGCGTTGGGGTTCAGGATAAATAAATTTCTACCGAATTACAACTTAACACTGTATTTATCACTTAGAACAATCAAAACACTCAACAAACCCCTTAAAATTCTCAATTCGCTTGTTCCGCTTCGCTTCAGGTGATCCGTTCGCTGTTTCGCTTCGAGTAGTTCCGATTACTAACTGACTGCGTGCCATCCCTGCAACGCTTTTATAGTCGAGATCAAATCCCTAGAATCGTCGAGAATATTCCATAAAAGTCGAGTATTGTGTGTTTCTACTATCTGACAATAGATGGCGTTGTACTTCTCGAGCGTTCTAGATACTACTAGATCCTTCGATATTCGTTCGACTATTCGGCGATAGATGGCGTTACTCTTACCGGCGTAACACTATATTAATATTTACTATTTTCGTCAGAGTTCTGCCTCCAATTCCGGCGCCAGAGACCTTTTCAGAGCATCAGACCACGGCAGATTAAGTCGACATTGAAATAGAAAATCTAATATAAAAAAGTCGTTCCTATTCAAACAATAGTACCGGTAATAGTATGATAGTACTAGTTAAAATTCGCTAACAGACATTGACAATGTCAGCAAGTCAGACTTCGTTTTAATTAAGTCGCTTCATAGCACTGTTGAAACACCAAACAGATTTCACTAATAATCTACTGAAATGTAGCAAGAAAGATTAATTAATATAAAGTTTAAATAATGTTGTTTCGTTATGATGTCCATGGACTTCAAGGGCGCGTTTATTGCATCTATCTAAGCGATTGAACACAAAACTGCGAGCTAGGGCAATGAAAGATGGTAATGTTCTCAAACTAGTGTATTATGTATGTCATTTTTAATCTAATTAACTAGATATTTTTGGCCATCATCTACAAATCCATCTTCACTGATGTCATTGATGTCCTGGTTTCGTGTCTCAAACCGTTTATCCATTATCATATTAATACGCTTTTATTAGCTTCAGACGTATGTATGTGGGTAACGGAATCTTTGAAAATGATTTTGACCCCCTTCAAAACGTCGGGATTAACTCGAAATTTGGTATACTTATTAAGGACCGATGACAATTCAATATTTAAAAAAAAATGAAAAATTAGCATTCAACTAAAAAATGAAAAATAGCTTAAAAAAACGAACAAAATACGCTTTTATAGATAATCCAACTTCTTCTATATCGTTCCCTCACTACTGAGGATCGCGACCACATGCGACGTACTTCCGATGTGCTCGATCATGGGTGGCATGGACTGCATGGTACAGACCACCACCGAGTGCTTCTCGTGCTAGATCTGACCATCTGGCTGGTGTTCTGCCCACGGCGCGCTTGCCTTCTATTCGACCCGTAATTATGAACTTCTCTAATTCATGTCTGGGAGACCGCATGATGTGCCCGAAGAAGCTCATAACACATTCCCGGCAGATGGAAGAGAGACTTTTTCGGATGTCTAGCTGCCTTAGAATGGACTCGTTTGTTCGCATGGCAGTCCACGGTATTCGCAGCATCCTCCGCTAACCAAAACAACAGAAAATAAATTTAAATAAATTTGAATTAAAGATAGTGTAAAAAAATTTTTTTTAATTAAATTATTTAAAATTTATTTTCTATTAAAATTTATTAGTTGGATTTTCTATAAAAGCGTATTTTGTTAGTTTTTTTTAAACTACCTATTATTTATTTCTCTCGGATCTCATAAAGCCGTGAACTTGCTTTGGCCGGTTTAATCAAAAACATTTTCATATAACACGTATATAGAAAAGAAAGAATCTCAAACTGGTGATATCATCGGCTACGATGAACGCGGAATTCCTGAAGGACTTCTTCAACACAAGCGACAAGAAAGACAGAAACAAACCCGCCACTTCGGTCGTGATGTCCGTGCAGGGGCGGACTCATCCTATTGAGATATATTACACTCAAGGTGAGTGTTTGAAGTTGTAAATAAATAAATCTAATATATAAAATTCTTGTGTCACAATGTTCGTTCCCATACTCCTCCGAAACTGCTTGACCGATTCTCCTGAAATTTTTTATGCATATTCAGTAAGCCTGAGAATCAGCTACTATCTATTTTTTATACCCTTAAGTGATATGTTGGGTTGTCCAACCCAAATTTTTATTTATTTATTTGGACATATTTTTAGGTATTATTAGGTATTATGTGGTTGAATGAGGTTTTGTTATTTTTATTATATATTCCCTCATCGTTCACAGCACTACATACCTCTTTCACTCATTTACCACATCCTTACACACTTACAATAAGTTAGTTTTTTTTTCTACACTAGAAATTCCCTAGAAATCTTATATATTATTATGGCAAAACAATGTTTGCCGGGTCAGCTAGTCTATATATATAAATATTGTTCGTTAGTCTCTCTAAAACTCGAGAACGGCTGGACCGATTTGGCTAATTTGGGTCTTGAATTATTTGTGGAAGTCCAGAGAAGGCTTAAAAGGTTTATATAGAATTAAATAAAAATAACAATTTTGTTTTTCCTTTGATGTGTCTCCCGTTGGACGGATTCCTTTTGTTTGTTTTAAGTAAATTTTATACAAAAGCTTAGGTCTTTTATTTATCGATCGAGGCACTAGGAAGTCTGCCGGGTCAACTAATTAATTAATAAATATTTATTAACGATCACGCCACGTTAACTGGTCCCTGGCTAAGTTCGTAAAGAACTTGTGTTACAGGTACCAGTAAACGGAAATAAATGTAAGATTTTTCATTATACACGTACATATATTTAATATACATCTATAACCCTGGAAAAGACATTTTATATTTATCATACAAATATCTTCCCTTGGCGGGATTTGAACCCGCGACCCTCTTGTGTAGTGACCATGTCACTTACCACTGCACCAGACGGCTGTTAAAACCGCCGTGGGCCGTTGTGCCCAGTTATGAGCGGCAGTGGGCTGGACATCTATGCCGTAGAACTGACGATCACTGTATCAGACGGGTTCCTGAGTGGAGAAGTTAACGTGGGATGCCCCTTGGCTAGGTGGTGTGATGACCTTCGAACGGTGGCCGTTAGGAGGTGAATGAGGAGAGCTGAAGACTCAGTGGTGTGGATTGGGAGAGGCCTATGTCCAGCAGTGGAAGACTGTGGGCTGACGATGATGATAATGAGCGGCAAACCGGTCGATTGGTTCTTATTAGAAAAGTACCAGAATCACATGTTTCGAGGGAGGTGTTCTAATCAAGTACAGGTACAAGGTAAGTTTCGAAGTCGTCGTGGCCTAAAGGATAAGACGCCCGGTGCGTTCGTATCAAGCGATGCGAATGTATCGAGGTTCGAATCCCACAAGCGGGTACTATTTTTTTTATGAAATACGTACTTAACTAATGTTAGGCTCGACCTCGACCCGGTCGGAGACCTAGTGGAAGGTGGAAAGATGTAGTGCTCATGGGTAAGAGGGAATGTAATGTTACTGACGAGGATATCGCAGACAAAGCGAAACTGAGGAGAGATAGAAGCTGACTCTACCACCATGTGGGATGAATAGTTAGGAAGAGAGAGAGTACTTGACCAATGTTCACGACTGACTTCCGGGGTTAAGGAATACAACAACGTGTAATAAAAACTAAACCTACATTATTTGCGTAATTAATTGGTGGTAGGACGTCTTGTGAGTCCGCACGGGTAGGTACCACCACCCTGTCTATTTCTGCCGTGAAGCAGTAAGGTTGAAGGGTTGCGGTTTGAAGGGTGGAGTAGCCGTTGTAACTGAGTTCTAATCATGTCTCTAAATGGGTGGCATTTATGTTGTTGATACCTATGGGCTCCGGTGACCACTTAACACCGGTTGGGCCGTAAACTCTTTCACAAACTTAACCAATAAAAAAAGAATTTGACCTAAAAGTACCAGGAGCTCATAATTGAAGGGATGTATTCTTTGTATACTTCAACATTATATTAATAAATCTTAAAAAATTCAATGTACATTGTTTCTTTAACTGTTAATAACCATGTTTAATGGCTTTGTTATCTGTGCCTCTTGTCAGCATGATGTCAGAAACTCATACTAATTTATTAATCTAATATATAAAATTTTCGTGTCGCGGTGTTTTTTGCCAAACTCCTCCGAAATGGCTCAACCGATTCTCATGAAATTTCGTGTGCACGTCGGCTAGGTCTGATAATTGGTCAACATCTATTTTTTATACTCCTGAATGTTAAGGGTAATAATCCACCCAAAAAATTTAATTCTAAAAATAATGTATATAGCAAAACAAAGTTTGTCGGGTGTTTAGTTATTATATTTCTTTCATACCCTAAAAATTCTTATTCTGCGAAATGTTTTGCCGAAAAAGTACCAGGATCGTATGATCCAAAGGAAGTTGTTAGAATAATTATCTTTTTATTGTGCCTTAATGGATGGATACAAACAGTCTCGGATTATTTAAATTACTTATAGTCGGAGAATATTGTAGAACAATGTACCAGGAGTACAGGACTTAAGCAGTCAAATTATTGTATTAATATTTTTTCCTGAGGAGTTTAAAAAATTTAAGAATTTTCCGCTAAATAATTTTTCTATTTACTTATAAAACTGTTTTTGCGATGTCCTTCGGCATTTTGATCTCACGCGTTGAGCGGTTCATCCCATTCCTTGAGTATCCCTAACAGATTTATGTTCACGATCCTGCAGACAGAATGGAAAGCAGTCGACGTCGCCCCAAACACGTCATTTCGGATCCTCCCGATCCACTAACGGTGCTTTTAGGTACCTCAAGCACCGGTCATCGTTCTCGTCGAACCCGTCGCTTGCGACGAAGGGCTCGGCGAGTAAATTAACCCTCAGACACAGCCCACTAAGTTTCTCGCCGGATCTTCTCAATGGGTCGCGTTTCCGATCCGATGATAGATTCTGCGAAGCACGGCTCTTGCTAGAGTTCGTGTTAGCAACGTCGTCAGCTTTGAGCCCCATGAGCTCACCTACTAGCTAAGGTTGCGCTGAAATAGCCTCTCAAGACTATCAGCTTAGGTAGTAAAAAAAAACCAGATTTAGTTCTTTTGTAGTGCAATACAATTTTAATATCGTATTTAAACTTTCAGAACCAGTTCCGGACTATGTGAAAGCGACCGTTGATACAGTCATTAAAATACACGAAAATCAACCGTCAGGTGATATTTTGGCTTTTCTAACTTCGCAAGTAGGTACCTTCTTATTTTTATGCTAATTTTTTATTTAAAATTCACAAGAGCAAACAGAAAGAATGTGATAAGACTAGTTAATAGATGGCGCTGTTTTCATTTTAATGAATTTAAAAATGGCAAATAGTATAAAAATTATCAATAGATGGCAGTGTTCTCATGTTGTTGAAAATTTGTTTAAAAAAGTATAAGGCTGTAGTTAATAGATGGCGCTGTTTTCATTTTAATGAGTTTTAAAAAGCAAATAGGATAAAAATGATCAATAGATGGCAGTGTTCTCATGTTGTTGGAAATTTGTTAAAAAAAAGTAAAATGTTTTAGTTAACAGATGGCGCTGTTTTCATTTTAATGAATTTAAAAAGCAAATAGGATAAAAATTATCAATAGATGGCAGTGTTCTCATGTTGTTGAAAATTTGTTTTAAAAAAGTAAAATGCATGACAATGGGGCCAATAGATGGCGTTTTTTTTGTTAATTTTGAAAAATAAGATTCAATTAAAAATAATGTTCAAGAGAAAAGATCAAAATTAATTAAAAGATAGCACTTTTTGTAATCATGTAACCGCAGTATGATCTTAAAAAAAGAGGTATAATTTTTTTTATTTAATTTTTATTTTATTTAATTTTATTTTTTTTATTTTATTTATTGGGTACCAACATGTTATACATCAGCACAGACCTTTACAGGTATCATATACATTGATTTCACACTAAATGCTAACACAATTACAGGTACCGACTGCATGCATAAAAAAAAAGCGGTTCATTATATAAAAAACAAAGACAAACTATATATAACATTACATGAAGACCATACATTATTACACATTTACTACCAAATACGCTATTACTTAATTGAAAAAACTCATTGAGCAAGGCTGTAAACTTCTCGTCTAAAACTGCCAACAGTGCCAGCAAAAACGTCCAGAGAATACTTGCTATGCAAATTATTTAATTCCCCAACTAGTCTGCTGAGAGGCGCGTTCTTACCAAGGTTGGTGTAGAATCTGGGAACCCCGAACACCATCAACTTCAAAGCCCTTGTCGACGTCGATTTAGATAATATATGGCGCTTTTCACTTGTGTGCTTAAATTGAGTGTCTGAAAAAGCCATATAGATTTCATACTTCAGTGGAAAAAGCTGTGCGTTTCTTGACAAAGACAAGTTGTCTGTATTTTTGACTCAATTTTTAAACACCTTAAATCACTTTTTTGTTTGCCAAATTTTATGAGTTTATTTGTTACTAGCGACCCGCCATCGCTTCGCTTCGGCAACATTAAAACACACAAGAAAACAAAAAAAAAAAAAATTAAAAGAAGTAGCCTATGTTCATCAGGGACAATGTCGGCTTCTAATGGAAAAAGAATTTTTCAAATCGGTCCAGTAGTTTCGGAGCCTATTCGAAACAAACAAACAAACAAATCTTTCCTCTTTATAATATTATTAGTATTAGTATTAGTATAGATATAGATGCGTTCATGAGCAGTTTAATATTTACGCTGTCGCGTTGTCATAATGATTAGTCTGGTTTGTTATTTGTTGTTCGTATTCGCGGGATATTTTCACTCCGAATATATAAAAGACAGACAGACACACCATTTCAACAACATCTATAATGTGTATGTCGGCGTTAAGCCAGGGTTTTCACACATAAGTTCTTTTACAATGAAAATACAATACAATTCTATAAAACTTTAACATTACTTGTTTAGAACAAAAAGCCACGCGTTAGTTATTCAGTGGTTCTTACACAATTAGCCATTTTGTGATTGATGGTTATAGCAACTACAACTTCTTTTATACAAACAAATGTAATTACTGCGAAACAATTCACAAAATATAGCTTAATATTCACAATACATATTTTAGTGATTTTTACATGACTGACATGTAATTTATTTTACATGAATTACTTTTATGTAATAATAACTAACATTGTTATTATCCACCCTAATAATAGATGGCGCTAACAACATCATTGCATAACAATTACAACACTTAATTATTACTGTTAATTATAATATCAATTATTATCAATATTTATGATTTATTCATATTTAATTATTTATACAGTCATTTGTGTTTTTAAACAATAATATAAACATTAAACATATTCTGAACATTTTCACATCAAAACAGTGTCTGCTAATTATTAAATATGGTGGAATAACAGTTTCATCTTGCTAAAAATAAGCAGTGCCTTTGTACATAATTTTCCTATTACTCTGTATTATATCCTCTTTTCTGTGTGTACATAAATAAATAAATAAAAATAAATAAATAATAATAAATAAATATTAACATAGAATAAACTAAACTAAATATTATTATGTTAATTATTGCCAATAGTGGCGTTTGCGCCCATATGTACAATATTAAAATATAACCAAAAGTAAAGTAAACAACATTATAGTAGAATTATTTTGTCCGTGCGGTTTGGGTCATAAAACATAGCCCGGCTAGGGCGGTGAGCATGTTGCGCGGGCGCAACGCCATTATCGATAAAAACAAATGAGTCCTGCAAATTATAGTACATTATGTCGAAGAGTAATGTGTTTTTATGCATTCGTTGTCTGAATTTCTTTAGTGACACAATGGCTACTCCTTTGTTTTGTATCAAAACGGTAGAATCTATTCAAAATAATATTTGCACGTGTTGTTATCAACAATGTGTTAAATTTTTTTCACTGAAATAAGAATAGATCTCGAAAAGTTACAAAGTGTTAATTTCTGCCGTTCTCGTTAACTTGCTGCGGCGATTTTCGATTAGTGATTTTTCTTAAATTTTTATCACTAACCCACAAAATGACAAAACTAAATACACCATCGATAACGTTTTTGATGAAGTCGTCGTGGCCTAAAGGATAAGACGTCCGGTGCATTCGTATGAAGCGATGCACCGGTGTTCGAATCCCGCAGGCGGGTACCAATTTTTCTAATGAAATACGTACTTAACAAATGTTCACGATTGACTTCCACGGTGAAGGAACTACATCGTGTAGTAAAAATCAAACCCGCAAAATTATAATTTGCGTAATCACTGGTGGTAGGACCTCTTGGGAGTCCGCACGGGTAGGTACCACCACCCCGCCTATTTCCGCCGTGAAGCAGTAATGCGTTTCGGTTCGAAGGGTGGGGTTGCCGTTGTAACTATACTGAGATCTTAGAACTTATATCTCGAGGTGGGTGGCGCATTTACGTTGTAGATGTCTATGGGCTTCAGTAACCACTTAACACCAGGTGGGCCACCAGTCCATCCATCGAAGCAACAACAATAATGCGCATCACTATGCCCGTCCATAAGGCTCGTGAGTGGAAGAGAGAGCGAAATATTCGCTTCACCGCTCTGATTTCTTATGACCCAAACTGCACGGACAAAATAACTCTACTATGGGCGCTACAAGACACAAATTAAAACTAAAATTACTTTTTTACATTGAACTTAAATCGGCGCGCGAATCTTGTTGAATGACGTCACGGAACACCTGTGCGTTCGGGAATTCCGATCGCGCCCGATGACGCCCGAGTGCGACCGAATGTTGCACGCTACAAGTCTGTTCATTTAGCACGGAATCAAATCAAATCAAAAAATAATTATTCAACATAAATGAAAGTATATAGGTACTTGTTAAACCTCAAAAAGAACTACCGCCAATTCACAAAAACTAGCCTCCGTCTTGAGAAGAACTGGCAAGAAACTCAGCGGGCATGTCTTTTTTTTAATATTCATTTTTACAATTTATAACAATTATTGCAATATAGCAACGTAACAATTATTGCAAAATTGAAATGCCCGGAGCGAGCAACTCATTCCCACTTTGTGCAATCTTCTAGATGATCATTGACTTTATAGTAAGCTTTATTGTACAGATGTTCTTTAATAGTTTTCTTAAACCTACTGTCCGCGCGCGAGCTCCGAGGATTTTTAAGGAATGTTGACGTAATGAGCTAGTGTTGTAATTAGTCGATATTGCGCTATCGATACTAACACATCGTAAGCCTCCGTGCGAGTGTAAATTATAAAATAGTTATATTTTATGAGGGTATTATGTACTTGAAAAAGAATAAAACAATTGATCACGTATGAATTTCATTTAATGAACTGAGTTTTATTGAACAAAATGAACGTGAAATCTTATTAATTACTCTCGCAATCTGATTAATCAGTAGTTGAAGAATTTGATGTACTCTCCTCACATACTTCAATAATAAATGATTCGACAAAGTCCTCCATTAAGCCATCCTTTTGCCAGTAATATTCCTCTAATACTAAGACATGTTTATTATGCTAGTGCTCGCCATTCCTTTTTCATCAAATTAAATAGCTATTTGTGCAAACAAAAAGACTTATAAGTGTAAGACTATTTATATTAGAAATCACACGTAATTAACACTGCTATCGCAAAATTAAAATCAACGAGTCGGTAAGCGTACTCTCACGTTAAGGTCAACACTAGTACTGGGAGAGAGCGGGGTATGAAGCGACGGTCGGGCGCGGTGCACGCCCGCCCGCTTCCTCGGACCCCGAATCCTCGGAGCTCGCGCGCGGAGTATATGTATAGGTAGACTCTGAACATCTTGTGGGATTTTGTTGTACAGGCGCACAGACAAACGCCCGAATGAATTTCGTATCTCGTGTAACCTACTCATCGGCACAACAAGCTTTTGTTTGTTTGTTGAACAACGTGAGGAAACTAAAACACTATGCGCTCCACAGGAAGAGATCCACGCGGCCCTAGAGAGCCTCGAGCAGTACTCGGAGCAGACGCAGGAGCGCAACAAGTCCCGCAGCCACTTCCCCAGCGGCATCAGGGCGGCGGAGTTGGTGGCGGTGCCGCTGTACGGCGCGCTGCCGGCCCGGCGCCAGCTGCGCGCCTGCCTGCCCGCGCCGGCCGCCGCGCGCCGCGCCGTGCTCGCCACCAACCTCGCCGAGACCAGCCTCACCATACCCGGGATCACTTACGGTCAGCCTCACTACCTTATTAATTTTTCTTCTTTAGAATCGTTGTGATTTCAAACTCTATGAAATTATTTCTTACTATACTAGCGACCCGCCCTCGCTTCGCTTCGGAAACTGTAATTTATTATTGATTTCTCCACTATTTAATGGATGTTATTATACATATAAACCTTCCTCTTCGATCACTCTATCTATTAAAAAAAACCGCATCAAAATCTGTTGCGTAGTTTTAAAGATTTAAGCATACATAGGGACAGACAGATATAGGGACAGAGAAAGCGACTTTGTTTTATACTATGTAGTGATATGGATTATTGTTATTAATTGTAAGTTTCATAAGTTTAAAACAGATGGCGCCTTAAATCAGTTTTACAGACAATTGTAATACTGTCTGACATTAGTAACTCATAGATGGCGCTGTGTTAAAAATACCAATGTTTCATATAAGCTACAATTTCATGGCATAAACGCCACGTGCTGCTGAGCCTAAAGTATAAGTGAAATTTATTTCGTAACTCAACACAGTGAAATCCAATTATTCTAACTTTGTTAATTTTTGTTATTAGCATAGCCGGCCATATGTTATATAGAAACAAAAACTTTAGTCACAGCAACGTGTGGCCGGGTCTGCTAGTTGAAGTATATATTTAACCTTAATTTGTTTTTCTTCTTCTTCTTTAGAATCGTTGTTATTTCAAACTCGATGAAACGAAAAAATAAGTCCATAGAGACACAAACACATAAATGTATAGGATTCAGCCGGCGAGAGAATGAGATAGAACACATTAGACGTTCTCGGTCTCCTCTTTGTGCGACACTTCGTAGCATCCCCACTATCGTCTACTAAACATTGTCCATATGTATGCTCCTGTGTAGTGGGATAGTCAGTTGTATGTGAGACGTTAGTTCCCGGCTCGGTAGTATGTTTTAGCCGGTTATCGTTGCGACACACACACTGGGTCTGGACAAACCAATCGATCTCTGGTCGGAGATGGATACGGCACTTGCCCAGCAAGGTATCCTAGGTCCCCAATGTACGTCTAGGATTCAAAAAATTAGTAATTGCACATACGCACCTGGGACTGCCACACGGAGCTCCTGGACGCGTGCACTGTTCTAGAATCACTAGGCCTTTGTTAATGTATTATAATTTAACTTCACCCGCGGTCGTCGAATTCGGTTAAGTTTAAATGTTCTAGATTCGGTTGCGTGTTGTTCGGCTCCCGTTCGTAATCGATGTGTGTGTGCATGCGATGTAGCTTCGCTGTCATTTTATGGTTCCGAACGTGGAGATCGATTGGCGTTGTAAAATGTCAGATTTAAAATTTGCCGCGAAGACGGCATATCAGTATATCTATATCTATATCTTATTTTTAAGTTTCACTTCTACCGTGTGTGACTTGCACACACACCCACTTTTTTTTCATTCAGTAATCGACTGCGGCTTCCACAAGCTGGCGTACTTTGACCCGGCCTTGGGCGTGCAGGCACAGCACGCGACCGCGGTGTCCCGGGACAACGCCACACAGCGCGCCGGACGCAGCGGCCGCACCGCCCCCGGACACTGCTACCGGTGAGGCGGCAATACTGTACACCTCTTTTGAGTCCGCGCGGATAGGTACCACCGCCCTGCCTATTTCTGCCGTGAAGCAGTAATGCGTTTGAATTTGGCAGCCTTAGAACTTATATCTGTGGGTGGTGCATTTACCTTGTAGATGTCTATGGGCTCCAGTAACCACTTAACACTAGGTGGGCCGTGAGCTTGTTCACACATCTAAGCAATAAAAAAAATAGCTGTCCAGCCTCTCAAACTCGGTACAACGATTGCTTCGAAGAGGTACCGACCCGTGCGGGATCATAACACCATCCTACCTTACTGTCCGGAATTAAAGTTTTAAATTCTTTTAAAATGCTGCAACTTCACCCTAATGTCTAAGTGAGCTCACAGGGCTCCAACCTGGGGTCGTTGCTAACACTAGTCCTAGCAAGAGCCGTGCTTCGCAGAATCTACCACCGGATCGGACACGCGACCCACTGAGAAGATCCGGCGAGAAACTCAGTGGGTTGTGTTTATGGAGCTATACGTTTGCGTACGTTTGCCGCTAGGGGCGCTGTTCCAACAGCATACAAATTCGAGTTAATCGCTTACGCTATCGAGAACGTTAAAAAGCTCGCATTGAGCAGACTGCATACGTGGGGATGGTGTGGTCCGACGACCATATCATACTTTTCATTCTTCACTTCTGTTTCAATAATTCCAGTTTGTACACTGAAGATGAATACGAGAAGCTGCCGGAGAGCGTCCCGCCCGAGATGTGTCGCAGCGACCTGGCGGCGGTGCTGCTGCAGCTCAAGGCTCTCGGCATCCACAACCTGCTGAGGTGAGCTCCATCAGGTCCCGTTTTCGGTCACTTGTGTAGATGTTGTTACCGATCGTGACGTCAATAATAAACAACTGGCAACTGGTGCAGCGTAATGTAATAATTGCATACGCATGCGCTTACGTGTCCCTACATCACGCGTGGTGACGCCTTTCTCATCGACTGGTAACGTCAATGGAAAATACAATTCGATCCATGAATCAATTTACTGAATTCCACTTCATAAGGACGTGTGATGCCATCTGTTGTTCAGGTACTGTAACTAAGTAAAAAAAAAGATGTGTGGTGTCATGGTACACCGGATAGGAACGAACATCCTTATTATAAAAATATTAGTTTTAAGTTCTATTCGAGGTATAAGGAGAATAACTATCCGGATATACATTTTTATTATGATTTTTTTATTTATAAAAACAAAAAAAAACTACAAAGTTATCAACTTTATTTTATTCACAATTATTTATAAAAAATATATAATAAAAATGTTATTTTTTATACTTTATTACAAAGTTAAGTCGTACACTGTGTGCATTAGTAATAAAAATCTTACGTTACGGACGTTTTTTCCCGGTTATGGTACCCCACCGTATCGTCCCATATGGAACTTCTTTCCAAAAATACACAAAATCGAAATAGGGGTTTCTAAATGCAATAATATGTTGCGTCTGCACGAGGCCCCGTGTGGTGACGCCTGTCTCATCGACTGGTAACGTCAAGGGAAAATATCAATTCGATCCATAAATCAATTTACCAACTTCCGCTTCATAAGGACGTGGGATGCCATCTGTTGTTAAGTTAGTGTAACTAAAAAAAAATTGTGATGTCGTGGGACACCGGATAGTATCGAAGTTCCTTATTATAAAAATATTAATTTTAAGTTCTATTCGGCTGTATTAACTGACTGGCTCTCTCAGGTTCTCGTTCCCCACTCCGCCGCCTGCCAAGAGTCTGCTGTCGGGCCTGGAGACTCTGTACGCGCTGGGCGCCATCGACCACAGCGGCGACTTAACGTCGGACGTGGGGTTCCGCATGGCCGAGCTGCCGGTACCGCCCATGGCTGCGAAGATGCTCTGCAGCAGCGGTGAGTGCGGTCCCTGGTGTAATGCTGTACTCTGGGAGGTGTTAAAGAAAAACGTCTTCTTGCGCGTATCCCATGTTTAATTATCATCTTAATCCTAGTTTACAATTATGAGGAAGCCTACGTTTTTTGACGTGACAACGTCTTATAATTCGATGGAGCCGACTGCACGCACGAAAAAACATGACTCATGCGGCGTTACCTCGCTCTGAGGCGTTCCATTTAAGGCTTGAAGTGCAAGCGAGAGCGCGCAACGAGCGACAAAGAGGCACGATCGGCCTCCGCGTTCGGCAGCGTTCGACATCTGTCTCTCTCCTACTTGAGTGAGCGATGCATCCGCGTGGACAGCTGCTATACAATAATACATTTACATGTTTTCGTCAAGTATGAAGTTCAGTGAATAGTGAATGTGGTGTCAATTGTTTATAGCAACGATAATTGCGATAATTGAAAAATGAAACCATTCCATCAGTATTTTCTTATGACGTTGTCACGTTCAACTATCGTCAGTACACCGACTTTACAGACAACCAATTTTTTATGTTTTATTGCCCTTGTAGGCAGACGAGCATACGGCCCACCTGATGGTGAGCGGTTACCGTCGCCCATGGACTTCAGCAATGCCAGGGGCAGAGCCAAGCCGCTGCCTACCGATTAATACTCTTCACAAGCCCCGTTTGAAGAAGGACATGCCAAGACAAGGACATGTTTCTGGGTGGTCCGCCTTATTAGGGGGACATACGAGATTACGCCTATTAATTATGTTATATACTAATTGCCATGCTAATACTATGCTATGCTATAATATATAAGAATATTTGGAAGCTTAAACGACAAAGGGAAGATCTTCCAACGAGCGGGTGATATTTGCTCGGTAGACCGACGGCCCTAATGTTGTCGTTCGGAACTTGTGTATATGCGTTTTATCTTGAAAATGTCGTAAGCGAGATTCAGACATCTGTCAATTATCTTGCTTTGTATGATGGCTACCCGCCACATATACATACTTCACCTGGGCGTGGGAGACAGTGGCACTCAGAGCGAGGTCGTTTCCAGGTGAGCTGGGCTGCGTGGACGAGGCTCTGAGCATAGCCGCCATGCTGCAAGTGGACAGCGTCTTCATCAAACCAGCCCACGGACGCGAGGCCGTCGCTTCTAAAGTGTCCCGGAGGAACCATTTTGAGGTATTGATGTGTCTTAATATAATTAGCGTCGTGGCCTAAAGGGTAAGACGTCCGGTGCGTTCGTGTTGAGCGATGCACCAATTTTTCTAATGAAAGGAATAACATCTTGTAATAAAAATCAAACCCGCAAAATTATAATTTGCGTAATTACTGGTGGTAGGACGTCTTGTGAGTCCGCATGGGTAGGTACCACCACCCTGCCTATTTGTGCCGTGAAGCGGCAATGCGTTTCGGTTTGAAGGGTGGGGTAGTCGTTGTAGCTATACTGAGACCTTAGAACTTATATCTCAAGGTGGGTGGCGCATTTACGTCGTAGATGTCTATTGACTCCAGTAACCACTTAACACCAGGTGGGCTGTGAGCTCGTCCACCCATCTAAGTAATAATAAAAAAAATATATATAAGCACAGACTCAACAGATACGACAGGAGGGCGGGAGGTCGTCGCGCTGCTAACGCCACTAACGCTTCCAGGTGGCGGAGGGCGACATCATCATGTACCTGAACATATTCGACTCGTATCTGAAAGTGAGGAGCTCGTGTGACGACGCGAGGAAGTCAGAGCGGGCGTGCAAACAGTGGTGTCAGAGGTACCGCCTCAACCACAGGGTCCTTGAGAAGGTAATAGTGCACTGCGGGGGATTGGAGAGCCGGGGGAGGAGGGTTGGGGGTGGGGGTCATATAAATGTGGGATTTGGAATTCAGAGTGGGGGGAATTCGGTCATTTCGACGAGTAAATTAACTCTCAGACACAGCCCACTGAGTTTCTCGCCGGATCTTCTCAGTGGGTCGCTTTCCGATCCGGTGGATGATTCTGCGAACCACGGCCCATGCCAGGGTTCGTGTTAGCATCGTCATCAGGTTTGAGCCCCGTGAGCTCACCTACTAGTTAAGGTTATGCTGATATAGCCTCTCAAGGCTATCAGCTTAGGTAGGACAACAAGAAGCAGAGTGGGTTCCGCATTCATTCGCCGTCTCTCTCAGTCCCTAACACGACATCTTCTATCTCTCTCACTCAGTCATGCTCTATATCTGTCTTTCATACATATAGCTCCGTTCCATTCCTACCTAAATACTTTTTTTTTCTTTATTTTTTGACTCCGGCACGGTTTGTGCATTAGCCAGCGTCGAGTAATAAGATTTTTATAATTCGCAATTTTAATTATTTAAAGTTTATGAATAATAAAAAACGAAGGTAATCCAAATTAATTAATTGAGATGAAATTATATGAAACTAACCGTACTCGCCCGCTTAGTTGGGCGTGTAAAATTAACATTTTTATTTATTGTCATTATTATTAGGGAGTCCAACACTCATATAAATATTAGCCTATCCATTAAGTACATGTATTTTCTACATGAATACCAAGTCGATCGGATGCACGGTTCAGTACTTATAACGGAACGGTATATATTAGTATAAATGAGATGATATGGGATGAAATATAATCTCAGTAAAATGGTGGTCAACTTTGTGGATTCAACTTTCAATTCTTGTGTTACAGGCGGCTGATATACGGGATAGCTTAGAGAAGATCGTCAAAGGGAAGTTTAATATTGAAAATAAGGTCTTCGAGGGTCCCGATCTCGGCACAGGTACGGGCGCCGCGCTGTGCTGAGGTCCGCGGGCTTTGTTACGATAAAATTACAATTGATCCGAGTAAAAGTTGAATAAATATTCTATAGTCTGGTCCCCGGATAGTGATATTAAAACAAACATTCTCAAGTTATATATAGAGAAACATACAGCCGGGCTAAAGTTAAGCAGCTGTCCATGGACAGCAATGCCAAGGGCTGAGTTAAGCCGCTGCTTACTGTTACATTAGCTTAACACTTTGGGAATATACTACGGAAGGAAGATCTTCCACCGAGCGGGTGATATTTGCTCAGTAGACCGACGGTCCGAATGTTGTTGTTCGGAAATTGTATATATGAGTCGTCTATTATCAAAGGTGGCAATCTGTGCATTTGGACAAAAAAATGTTATTGATATGTCGATACAGATTGATTTGAATATAATCGTCTCCGTCAAAGAATACGGTTCAAAACCTGCATTAAATAAAGGTTAATAGTTAACCTGTTATTTATCTAAGATGTCGTTCCGAAGAGTTTTGTGACTGCCAATGGAATACAAAGTCAATAATTCGTTTTTCGATTTACCAATAATTGTCCAAAAGTCAGATTGCCGGCTTTGATAATAGTCGACTAATATGCAAGCTCATTTTGAAAATAGCGTAAGCGAGATTCAGGCACCTGACATATATCTGCGTTGTATGATGGCTACCCGCCACAACACATGTCCTAGCGTTCGGGTAGCGTCGTGAAGGGGTAGAAAGATGGCCAGTAAATTTTGTAGCTTAAATTAGAAACATTATCGTACAAGGAGGTTGTTTTTTTTCAGCGAAATGTGAAAGAGTGATGAAGTGCGTCCTGTCCGGGTACTTCCCGCAGGCCGCGCGCCTCGCCCCGGCCGGCGCTTACCGGGGACTCCGCGGGGCCGAGCTCGCGCTAAGCCCCGACAGCTGTCTGTACGCCGCGCCGCCGCCGCAGTGGTGAGCGCGTCACGCCCCGTCACGCCCCGTCACGCCCCGTCACGCCCCGTCACGCCCCGTCACGCCCCGCCACGCCCCGACAGCTCACGTGAACTCGAGCGGGGACGACCGGGTGGATGCTTTGTATCGCTAACATGAGTGGAAGAGTTCACAGCCCACCTGGTGTTAATTAGTCACCGGAGCCCATGTACATCTACAACATAAATGCTACCCACTTTGAGACATGATTAGAATTCAGTTATTACAGTACAACGGCTGCCCCGCCTTTCAAACCGAAACGCATTACTGCTTCACGGCTGCAATAGGCAGGGTCGTGGTACCTACCCGAGCAGACTCTCAAGTGGTCCTATCATCAGTTATTACGCTATTTATAGTATTTGTATAGCTTTCAAATATTATTTCGAGTATGATATATGTGTATAAATAAAACCGAATGTACCCGTGTTAGTTCACGACAGCAGTGTGTATCGCTACATGTGTACTACACACGCACATGCAGTCGACACGTGCACCGTCTCTGTCCCAGGGTGACGTTCGCGAGCGTGCAGTGCTCCCGGGACCGCACCTACATGCGCGACGTGATACCCATAGACCGCAGCTGGCTGCTGGAGCTCGCCCCGCACTACTACAAGGAAACTTGACAACCCGACCAATAAAGATTATGACAAAACAAAATTGTATCATTTCAAAAATAAAGGATTGTGTGGTTATATGGAACCACGGTAAAAGTGAAACTTTTTTTTACATTATAGACATTTAACTCTGACAAACAACATTTACATTAAACACTGACAAAAACAAACAGAATAGCGCGGAGCACTGGCACAAATGAGCAATAGTCTATACACTACACGGTCAGCTGCTGCGAACTATAGGCACCGCCATATTGGCCTTGGCTGCTCTGACGAGCGCCTTTCACTTTATTCCTACTCCGCGGCCGACCGTCACGCGACATGCAACACACAGGCGAAAAAGTTTGTGACGACGTAATTTGAAAGTTTCACTTTTAAAAAAAAATGGCGCGCGTGAAAGAAGTGAAACTTCTTTTGCGGTGTGTAGTATTGTGATTATCTTCGTTTTTCATCCTTCAATCAAATTTCTCATGTAATAGGGAATATTGTGTATATAAGAAACAACTACTCTTCACCATTTATAAATATGTTAAATCATTTAAAGAAAAATGTTTTTTTTTAAATCCTTCATTAAAAAGAAAATATAAGATAGTTATTATGTTGCTGCCATCTACAGGATCAATAAGCAGCTAATAACAAGCCATCTAGTGGCCGACGCCCGTAAATTGAATGTGTAAAAGAGAAACGACTTAGCTTTCTCCCTCTCTCAAAGTTCGAGTGGTTCGCGAGACACTCTATCTATTTTCTCACTCTAGCTAGTCCTAAATTGTATCTGTTCTCTCTAGCCGTAACGAATCTGTCGCGAGTTAAATTTAACTCAACGCGACTAAAGAAGTTTCACTTCAAAAAATACTTATAGGTTCTCATATTATGTATACATTTCTGAATTATTTGGTATTTTGAGATTTTGTGACTATGAACCTCAAGCACGCATTGAGACATGAGATCTAAGTCTGTAGGGTCGTTAATCAGCTGCTCCACCCTTCAAAGAGAGAGGATTAGGACGGAAATATTATAAAAAAAAAAACTTCATCAGCTATTTCAATGGAGTAAACTTAATTGAAGTTCAATTAAATACATCGAACTGTTGATGCTGATACCAAATAAAATGGGCCTTTAATTACAAAGACAAATGTAGCGTGTTAAGCGAAATGTCGCTTAAACAATTTTTTTTATTGCTTAGATGGGTGGATTACCTCACAGCCCACCTGGTGTTGAGTGGTTACTGGAGCCCATAGACATATATAACGTAAATGCGCCACCCACCTTGAGATATAAGTTCTAAGGTCTCAAGTGTAGTTACAACGGCTGCCCCACCTTCCAAACCGAAACGCATTACTGCTTCACGGCAGAAATATGCAGGGCGATGGTACCTATCCGTGCGGACTCACAAGAGGTCTTACCACCGGTAATTACGCAAATTATAATTTTGCGGGTTTCATTTTTATTACACGATGTTATTCCTTTACCGTCGAAGTCAATCGTGAACAATTGTTGAGTACGTTTTTCATTAGAAAAATCGGTACCCGCCTGAGATTCGAACACCGTTGCATCGCTCAACACGAATGCACCGGACGTCTTATCTTTTAGGCCACGACGACTTCGAATTATACTCGATAATATTTACGTGTCTGACATGGCCATCTCCCAAAGATGAGTCACAACGCGGATATCAGAGAGCACACCTATGGCCGACCTAAGCGCCTTATCTAAACGTAACGTCAACTTTGTCATCACTTAGGTGTGAACTGAAATATATCGTAATAGTTCAAACATTTGAACCCGGATGTTTGCGCCGATAGAGCGGTGCAGTGAGGAAAACAATATATTTTTATTGATTGAAGCTGCACTTCGCTGAATCAACCACCGGATCGAAAAATCGCAATACATTCAAAAGATCCAGCGAGAAACTCACTGTGTTGTGTCTATAGGATAGTTTACTTGCCAAAACCTCACGGTGACCGGTGCTTGAGGAGACGTCCGGTGCATTCGTGTTGAAGCGATGCACCGGTGTTCGAATCCCGCAGGCGGGTACCAATTTTTCTAATGAAATACGTACTCAACAAATGTTCACGATTGACTTCCACGGTGAAGGAATAACATCGTGTAATAAAAATGAAACCCGCAAAATTATAATTTGCGTAATTACTGGTGGTAGGACCTCTTGTGAGTCCGCACGGGTAGGTACCACCGCCCCGCCTATTTCTGCCGTGAAGCAGTAATGCGTTTCGGTTTGAAGGGTGGGGCAGCCGTTGTGACTATACTGAGACCTTAGAACTATATCTCAAGGTGTGTGGCGCATTTACGTTGTAGATGTCTATGGGGTCCAGTAACCACTTAACATCAGGTGGGCTGCGAGCTCGTCCACATATCTAAGCAATAAAAAAAAAAAAACTTAAAAGCACAGCTAGTGGATCGGGAGGTAAAGGCAACTAAAAGGCATGGCTTAAGCAACATTTTTGCAACTTTACAAGAGGGCTTTTCAAAGTTTAAAATTCAGAAAAAAGTACTAAGTATAACAAACTTTCTGTAATAATTTGAATGGAGTAATCTTAATTGAAGTTCAATCAAAAACATTGAACTGTTGATGCCAATACCAAATAAAACTGATTACAATTAACCACCTTTAATTACAAAGATAAATGTCGCGTATTAAGCACTCGATTTCTATGTTCAAAAGTATACAAGTATGTAAATGAGTGTTTGGGATTGGATTGTAAGTCTAGTTATTAGATGCTACTGCCGATTCGTTCAGATTACTTCGTGAAATCATATTACTATCGTTAATTTCTTTCTGTCCCTGATTATCACGCAGCCTTCCAAAATCTTTAAATAATCCGTTATATTGTAACAAGTCATCGCGCTAAACGCTAATCACACGACGATCATTAGGCTTGATTGAGATAAGTATCGTTTATGTTTCTAGTTGGCTCAGATTTGTTCCGTTATGGAGTATTGCAAGGTCAAATTAAAACGAAAAAATCACAATTATTATTCTCATAATCCTCTCGCAGCTCTGCTGGAAGAGATTTCTTAAAGAAATAAGCAGTGCCTTTGTACATAATTTTCCTATTACTCTGTACTATGTCTTCTTTTTTGTGTGTACACAAATAAATAAATAAATAAACAGTCAATCAGCCATGCGCTGGATAAATCTCATTTTCTAATCATCAAGAGTGTGGCGGGTAGCCATCATACAACGCAAGATATTTGACAGATGCCTGAATCTGGCTTACGACGTTTTCAAGATAAACTTGCATATATTTATTACTGGTGGTAGGACCTCTTGTGAGTGCGCACGTGTAGGTACAACCACGCTGCCTATTTCTGCCGTGAAGCAGTTGTGCATTTCGGTTTGAAGGGTGGGGCAACCGTTGTAACTTATAACTTATATCTCAAGGTGGGACCTTTACATTCTAGAGGTCTATGGGCTCCGGTAATCACTTAACACCAGGTGGGCTGTGAGCTCATCCATCCATCTAAGCCATTCTAAGCCATAAAAAACATTGTCAGCTATTTTTTGCCATGTACCATCCGGTTTTTGAATGAGTTCCCCTCCACGGTGTATTCCGAGTGCTACGACATGTCCTTCTTCAAACGAGGCTTGTGGAGAGTATTAAACGGTAGGCAGCGGCTTGGCTCTGCCCTTGGCGTTGCTGAAGTTCATGGGCGACGGTTACCACTCACCATCAGGTGGGCCGGGGTGGGCGTATGCTCGTCTGCCTACAAAGGCAAATAACAAAAAATTATAAATAATAGTTTAACAAAACTACCAAATTCGTTTTTACAGAAAAACCAACTAAAAAATAGAAAATAGAAAAGCAACCCACGCTTTTTTACAATAAAATCATTTTTTCTGACACTATTTTTAATTCAAATTTATTAAAATTTATTTTCTATTTTTTAGTTGGATTTAAATTTTTACAATTTTTTTTATGTTTTTTTTAGTATTGAGTTGTCGTCGGTCCTTAATAAGTAGCTATACCAAGTTTCGAGTTAATCCGACGTTTTGAAGGGAGTAAAAATCATGTTCAAAGATTCCGTTAGATACTAACATACATACGTCTGAAGTTTTTTTTTTTTTTTTTTGTTGCTTAGATTGACGAACGAGCTCACAGCCCACCTAGTATTAAGTGGTTATTGGAGCCCATAGACATCTACAACGTAAATGCGTCACCCACCTTGAGATATAAGTTCTAAGATCTCAGTATAGTTACAACGGCTGCCCCACCCTTCAGACCGAAATGCATTACTGCTTCACGGTAAAAATTAATAGGCGGGGCGGTGGTACCTGCCCGCGCGGACTCACAAGAGGTCCTACCACCAGTAATTACGCAAATTATAATTTTGCGGGTTTGATTTCTATTACACGATGTTATTCCTTCACCGTGGAAGTCAATCGTAAACATTTGTTGAGTACGTATTTCATCAGAAAAATTGGTACCCGCCTGCGGGATTCGAACACCGGTGCATCGCTCAACACGTATGCACCGGACGTCTTATCCTTTAGGACACGACGACTTCAAAGCATATTAAAAACGGGGTACGACCATCGATGACACATAATTAATTCTTACTCGTAATTCAATATGGACGTCATCGAACATTTTAATTTAAATACAAAACAAATTCCGACACTCAACTTTATTTTGTTTATCCAAGGGCAATCAAAAAAGAGAGTACACATTTATATCCATCAGATTCATTGAGGGTTTAAGGCCTGACGCACGTCCAACCCAGTATGAAGGTCACGCGAGTGCTATGAATTCTTCAATCATACTGCAGAAGCGATTCTAGTCCAACGTTATCAGAAGGTGGCGGTTATTATGCGCATAATACCGACGATAATACTTTAAAGACAAACTTTTCACAAGATATCAAAAATATTGTTATCAACAAAAAGTTAGATTGATTGTAGAATGACTAATGAATTACAATGGCTTAGTCTGATGAAAACACAGATAAAGCACCAACTATCTATATACTTAAATGCTTAAAACGACTACAATCTGTGATCAATTTAGCATAA